TATTTTTGGATCAGCAATCCGAGCATTTATCTGATTTTTCAACAGATTGAGGTGAGTCTTCTCACAATACTTACGGGTCGAAGGCATCAATACCGACCCATTGGATTATGTTATAGAATGCTAGTTGTCTTTGTGACTCTTTCATGTTTTATATGTGTTTGTATGCATGTTGGGCAGGTACCGATACCAGGGCGGGTCATAATGAATGTGTTAGGCGGGGCCCATCACATGCTACTGACAGATCTGTTCCGGGTGGGCCTTGATGTCGGGTGAGACCCGATGGTTGTTGGGCAAGGCCCATTGTATGTATGGTATGGGGTATTTTAGGGAACTCACTAGGCTTTGTTCTTATGGTTTTAAGTTTATCTTTTAGGTACTTGTGGTTCGAAGGGGAAGATCTCGGGATGATCACATTGCACACACCATGATTTCCAATTTATCGACCCTGTTATACTTTTGAATGGATATTGACATACTTTTATTTTCTTATGGTTTTGATAAACATGTTTGGTTGATCTTTTATTTAATATAAAAACAAAAAATTTTGTGTTTTAGGTTTTGGGACATTACATTGGGCCCTTTGGTGATTTGATGTTGACAGTATAGTGTTGGGCCCAACCGAGACTAAATTTGTAACATTCATAAAATTATTGAAAATTTTAAACTTTTTAAAACAAACCCAAAACAATAATTGTTTACAAATTGTTTTCAAAATAAGTTTCACATCAAAGAAATACCAAAATCGTAAAACAAAAACATAAGGAGGTGCACGATGATGCATTCGCCTTCCCGCGATCCTCTGAGGTACCTAAAACATAACCCAAAACTATAAGCCCAAAGCTTAGTGGGTTCCCCCAAATTACCGATACAATACTACTAGCACAAACATAATAACAACATACTATGGGTCCAATCAACCATCGGGTTGGTATACCCCACGTCCCTCAAATGTCGGGTTGGAATGCCAACATACTATAGGTCCAATCAACCAACGGGTTGCAATACCCCACACCCCTCAACCATCGGGTTGGAATACCAACATACTATGAGTCTAATTATCCTCGGGATGGAATACTCTGGGTCCTCAACAATTGGGTTGGAATGCCCCGACATGTTGGCTTACCTACAAAGAAGTGAAGCCACAGCCACCAACCAAACATGTGCACATAATATAGATAAACATACAAGCAACCAACTAGCAACAAATAAACATATCTTACTGATCACTAATCATAACATCATCCTATCTATCAGGATATTGACCTAATAGATCACAATAACATAACATGCACAATAGGATATTAATCCAATGGGTTGGACTTGGTGCTGTTGACCCCTAAGTATAGTGAGGAAAACTCACCTCGTAATGTCAAACTACACTGAAACCTCCGACTGCTGACCCACGAAAAATCTCGAACTATCACAGTAAACAACATCAAATTAACAATTGGAAAACCATACTTGACTAAGGATCCATACTTATGGTAAATGTCCATTTACCCTTCCCCTAGTTGGGCCAATGCCCAAGTCCAAATCTTTGATCCAAAAGGTCCAAATTACTTTAAGGTCCATAATTGGCCTAATTTTCCAAATTGGGCCCAACTCCTTATTGGGCCTTATCCTAATGTCCAACTCTCCAATCAGACCAAAACACTCATATCCATACGTCCAAAGAGGGTCCAATCATCCAAGCCTGAAAGGTGGCCCAATACTCGAAGCTTAAAGTCCGAAACCCAAACAGAAGGCGTATGCAGGGCGTACTCCTTCGGTACACTGGGCGTACCTTGCCTCACATTGACCACCTATGGGGTGGTTGACTCAGTACGCGGGGTGTACGTCGCCTTACGCGGGGCATACCCTCACAGAGCTTAAAATCCTCATATGTGCTTAATGGATTAAGTCTTTAAGCCTAAACTTCAAATCCATTACTCAAAAGCACTCTGATGATGTCATCACAAATCGGGAAATCAAGAAACATAATCTTGGATCATGAGATTGATTCTTATCCATCTCTCGTGTCCATAAGATATCATGAAGAACGAAATGATAGTTGATCACTTATCTTAGGGTCGACGTTTGATTTAATCAGATTTTGACAGTGTCTTTGGAAAACATTCTTTACTAGTTATTTCAAGATTTATACTTGCAGTTATAGTTATCGACTTATCCAAGTGGGAAACTATTGAATTAAGGTGTCTAAGGTATTAACTAAATTGGTATAGCTGAGTGAATAATAGTAAAGTCCTTCTTGGGTTGCACTCTTAACTAGGAAATAATTTTGATTGATATTAAGAGAGAGAGAGAGAGAGAGAGAGAGAGAGAGAGATAAATGACTTACTAATATATTATATGATTAATACATTCATTAGAAATAATAAATAAATAATTAAGAATTAATTATAAATACCTAAGTTAATGGTTATAGATTAATTAGAATTAATTAAAGGTACTAGGGTTAGAATGCAATTGTTCAATAATTAAACAAGAGAGACTTTCTAGAAACCCCCTATAGGGGACAGTTTTAGGGAGTCATTTCTAGGGTTTCTGGAAGCCTTTTTTTTTTTTTTTTTTGCTGATAGGTAAATATTGTAAATTAAAACCAATGTTTATTAAATCTATAAATATGGAGCTTTAGAAGGCTTGAAAACCCTACATAATTCATAAGGAATTTTAAAAAATCTCTTATCCCCTATCTTTATAATTTTCGACCATAAGGTTTCCTATGAGTTTGGTGTGACACATTAAAGGCTTCCACATTATTGGAGTTTGCATTCCATAAAATGGATATTCAAAGTTGGTTGCTATATTTGATTATAGCGAAATGTATGTTGCCTAAACTTTGTGTTTTTCAATTTTACATCAATATATTTAGGTTTTCAAAGTATGTTGCTATTATGAAAAAACTATAAATTTATAGGTTGCATGTGCCCATTATTGTTATGTGAAATTCTACAAATACATAAAAATCATATAGAAAACCGATTAAAAAGGAATGGTTAGTAAAAAGGGGAAGGGTAGGTGTTATTTCATTTAACATACAAATTTTAAAAATAAACTGTAAATAATAAACAATTAAAAAATAGGAAACTATCAGAAAAGTCCTAGAAAAGTTTAACTTTAGCCCCAAAAAAAATTTGAACATAAAACTTCCGATTATTTCATTTTGACTCAAATTAACAAATAAAAAAAAAAATAGTAAGAAATGACATATTATCGTGTAAAATCAAATAATTAGGATTTTTCTGTTAAAAATGGGTATAATGAAACTTTTCCGAAAATATTAAGACTTTTCTGATACTTTCCCTTAAAAAATAAATAAAGAAAACTGGTAGCGTGTAACAAATTTATCATTTAAGGACTCTATAGATGAAAAATTCAGCTTAGTGACTAAACGTGAGAGTAACACAATATCACAAGGTCGTCTGTTTAATTTACTCTAAAAATTAATAGTTTATAAAAGTTTCAAGACAAAACTTCAAAAATGGTCCTTGTGGTTTTCGAAAATATCAAGTTTAGTCCCTAAGTTCAAAAAACCTAACAGATGGTCCCCGTGGTTTCAAAACTTTTAACAAATGGTCATTCTGCCTAACTCCGTCAGCTTTCTACCGTTAAGTGAGGGGCATTTTCGTCATTTCAATACACAGGGACCATTTATGAGGTTTTCTCTATTTTAAAAAAGAGAAAAAATATAATTATTTAATTAAAGGGCCTCTCTCTCTCTCTCTCTATATATATATATATATATATATATATATATATATATATATATATATATATATCAAGTCAAGCTGAAATTGAAGCTTGTACTTGCCATTGAAATTGATCCATTTTTTCTTTCTTCTTTCTTTCATTTCTGTTTCTTATTTTGCTTTTCTTAGATTTCTCTTGTCAAAATTAAAATTTCTTTTACCAAGAAAAAGGATCAACAATTGCGAGCTTTCCATCGCCACTAGTTCTTTAACCTCATCATCACTATCGTCGTTTACCTCATGCCCGTTATCACTTGCTCCATCTACATTCGGATCGCCAATATCTCCTTTCTTTGATTTCTCTTTCCCTTCACCTATGTTTTCCCCTGTAACCCATAAACAAAACATTGAATTGATCCTTTTCTTCTTTCTCCTTTCTTTCATTTTCTATTTCTTCCTTTTCTTTTCTCTGATTTCTCTTTCTCTTCGCATGTGTATTCTTCCTTTATAAGCCATAAACGAAACATCAACGTAACTTGAAATGAAAAACCTAGGAAAACTAAACCCAAGCTAAATCATCGTTGTCATCCTCCACGTGAACTCGAAACCATAAATCAGAACCTGAAATAAAAACCGTAAGGACAACAAGAGGTAGAAATAGACTCAAAATCCGAGTTTATGAAGGTAGATCCAGACCATCCCTAAGACCCAACCTCTTCGTCGATTTGTTTCACCGGTAAAGACAACAAGAAGGTGGGTGGTGATTGGTAATTGGAAAGATAAAGTGAAAAATCAAGATCGAGATCGGAAGAGGGAAAGACATCCACATTTGTCGATTTCTTACAGTTCTGATTGATATTTCTTGAAGTTTTTATTTCTTCATCGATTTCACAAACCATAAAGTTCAATTTTCTAAGAATAAGTAGAGAAAATGTATTTGTAGGTGGAGTTTCAATGTTTTTTGAGGTGAGAGAGAGATAGATAGATAGAGAGAGAGAGAGAGAGAGAGGTGGGGCCCTTTAATTAAATAATTATATTTCTTTTATTTTTTTTAAATAGAGAAAACCTCATAAATGGTCCCTGTGTATTGAAATGACGAAAATACCCTCACTTAACGGTAGAAAGCTAACGGAGTTAGGCAGAAGGACCATTTGTTAAAAGTTTTGAAACCACAGGGACCATCTGTAAGGTTTTTTGAACTTAAGGATTAAACATGATATTTTTAAAAACCACATGCATATTTTTGAAGTTTTGTCAAGTTTCAAATATACAAGAAGAAAAATATAAAAGAAGAAAGATTATGTTAGTCTTCATATTCACGGCTGACAAAAGCAGATCGTTTGATTTTTCCTCCAACTGCTGCTTCCAATTCTCTCTCTCTCTCTCTCTCTCTCTCTCCCGCGAGAGGCAGACGAATACATTGGCAAATCACACACGAATCTCTGTTCTCGTTTGTTTCAGCTTCAATTTATTGATCTTACAATTTTTTCAGTGGAATGCTGATGTTTTCCAGGAAATAGTCGGAGGTTTCTTTCCGAGTGTCTGTTGTAGAATAGAAATTGAATTCGGTTGATTCACAATCTTGTCTTTTCGTTGTTTTCAGTGTCCGATACAGTTAATTAGGGTTTCTCTTGTTCTTGGATAGCAACTTCTGGTGAACCGAGTTGCTAAATTGAGTAATCTCGAATTCCAACCGGTTGATTCGGAAATTATAGAATTTGTATGGACTGGGTACATCGGATTGGTCGGAGTACTCTTTCGTTCCTTTGATCTTCCGGTGGTCGGAAAAATTATCGACTCGTTTTTTGAATCTGTTAAGTCCAGACGTTTTTGATTCGTTGGTCTCGAGGTTGGTGCGAAGTTAGGGTTTTCTTTTGGTATGAAAAAGCGGTTTTCGATGAATATGAGTTGTTTCTAAGTGCGACAATGGTAAAGCAGACGGTGAGATCCAAAATGCCTAACGTCAAACGCTGCGAATTGGAGGAAATGGATAGCGAAGAAACGGAAGATGAATATGATCATCTTGCTAAGAGTTTTACGAAGAAACAGAGAGGAGAAATTGAGTTTGCTGCAAGTTCTTATAACGAGGATGGTTTTTTAGGCTACGATAATGCTGTTAATTCGTGGTGCGATGGAGTTCCGTATATCCCTGGTGAATTGAAATCGAATTTGGGTTCAGTTTCGTTACTGAAATCTTCGCTAGGCCGTGTTGCTGTTCGCCCTTTAAGGTTTACTGATAACAAGAGTTTGAAAAAGCGTGGGAATCCGTTTTCTGACAGGGAATTAATATCTAAAAGACAGTGTCTCGAAACAGGGTATCAGGGGGGTTTTAACAATGCTGCAAGTCGAATTTATACCAGTTCACCTGGCTCTGCAACTTTATTTGGTAATACAGTTGATAAAAGCCACGAAAGAGCCATAGAGACGTTGAAGAATGAAAAAAAGAAGGGTTTTTATGGAGTTGAAGATTTTGTTACCGGTGATATTGTTTGGGCAAAATGCTCAAATCGGTTCCCAGCTTGGCCGGCGATTGTAATTGACCCACTACATGAAGCTCCTAAATCTGTACTAAGGGCTTGTGTTCCCGGCACTCTTTGCGTCATGTTTTATGGTTATTCAAAGAGAGGTCAAAGAGTAAGCTTTCTTTGCTAGCTGCATCCTGCATGTTTTTTTTTCCTTAAATTCTCTCGTTAGTTTACTTAATAAACTTGCAATCTAGTCTCTTTCCCTCTATTTTGTTTTTTTTGTTTGTTTTTTTTTTTTTTATTATTATTATTATTATTTTTTTTAACTCGGGATGCCTTATTTACTGAAATATCTGTGAAGATGCTTATAAAAGATTGGTTTTTCTTTTCTTGTACACGGGAAACACTCATGTAAAGATGGTATACTTTGGTATTGCAATTTATGGTCTAGCTTATGTTGTTTTGATGTTTAGGATTATGCATGGGTGAAGGATGGGATGATCTATCCCTTTTTAGACTATATGGAAAGGTGTGTGTTATACAATTGAGGCTATGAGCCATATCTTAGTTTGTTAGGTGTGTGTTATAAAGATCTTTTAATCAAGTTAAATTTTTTGTTCAGGTATCGGGGACAGACTCAATTATATGGCTGCAAGCCAGGTGATTTTCGTATGGCAATAGAAGAAGCGTTCTTAGCAGAAAACGGCTACTTGGATTCAGGCTATACAGACAAGGAGGAATGTTGTAGCATTAAGATCCCAATGGCAACGAATCAAGAGTCTTGGCGTCATAAGCAGGCAAGTTATTGCTTTCATCAGTAATTCTTTTAGACATTCATATGAGTCTTTGAAAGGTAGCATGAATTGATTGGTATATGGTATATACCCTTTTGTAGAATGCCTATAATAAGAAGGATACACAAGCTTGTGGCAGCTGTGGTTTGTTTTTTCCTTGTAAAACAATGAAGAAAGCTAAGGGAATAACCTCTCAACAGCTGGGTTTGTGCGAACACTGTTCAAAGGTTTCTACACTTACATGCCTCACCTCATTATTTTGTTACTTGTTGTACCTAATTGCAAACTTGCTGCAGTTACGGAAATCAAGACAATACTGTGGCATTTGCAAGAAGATCTGGCATCATTCTGATGGTGGAGATTGGGTGAGATTATTTTTCATTGCATTATTAAAAAACCATTGCCAGCTTTTGTCTACAAATAACGAGTAGCATCTAACTTTTTCTTTATTATATCTTGTTTTGTCTAGATATGCTGCGATGGTTGCAATGTCTGGGTCCATGCAGAATGTGCCAAAGTTTCCAGCAAAATCCTTAAGGTGTTTATCTGATTTCTTAATGATGTTATTATTTGGTATCTTCATCTTACATGATTATATCACCTGAAGGATCTGGAGGAGATTGACTATTACTGTCCAGAATGCAAAGGGGAATCCACTGTTGTAGATAAATCTGAAGTACAACTCAGGTAGGTATCAGTTTCTTTATTCTTTCTTTCTTTTTGGGTTTATATATATATATATATATATTATCTGATGATGTCATTGAACAGATGTTCAGAGAGTGTGTTGGCTGAGAAAATAAGTGTCATCTGTAGTGGCATGGAAGGGATTTACTATCCAAAACTTCATCTGTAAGTGAGTGGTGAATTTAGCAACTTGTCAGTTTAGTTGAATGATGGTGTATGGTACCTAATGTAAGATATATGTTTATTTGATTTTGTTTTAGAGTTGAGTGTAAGTGTGGTTCATGTGGAACAAGAAAGCAAAGCCTTGGTGAATGGGAACGCCATACTGGTTCTAGAGCAAAGAAGTGGAAGGTCAGCATTAAAGTGAAGGGTTCAATGTTACCACTGGAGAAGATGGTTTGTACAACTTCAACTTCAAGAAAGCATTGTGTTAATTAGCAAATGTTGTCATTTATATCACTCACACTACTAAACTAGTAACTTTAAATATTGCAGCTTTCAGGGTGTAATGTTAATAGTGTCAAGGCTGCTTCAGCTGTAGTAGTAGCTTTAGATGAAAAACAATTGTTTTCATTTCTTCAAGGTAGCGTACAGTACATATATATATATATATATATATATATATATATATATATATATATATGTTTTTGGTTGTCTTGTTTGCGTTTGTGTTATGTTTTATATATATATATATATATATATATATATATATAGATAGATAGATAGATAGTATAATATGGAAAAATGAAATTACAGACAAGTATGAGGCTGTGAATGCAAAGTGGACGAGTGAACGCTGTGCTATCTGTAGATGGGATGAGGACTATGAGGTGAACAAAATTATTATATGCAACAGGTGTGAAATAGCTGTGCATCAAGAATGCTATGGGGTGAGAGACATCCATGATTTCACATCTTGGGTTTGTAGAGCATGTGAAACGCCTCAAGTTGAAAGAGACTGTTGTCTCTGCCCTATTAAAGGTCCACTCATACAATTGTTGAGCTGAGTTGTTTGTAAATGTCATATGATAATAAAATATATGTTATGTTATGCAGGTGGTGCTTTGAAGCCAACTGACATAGAGAGTTTATGGGTTCATGTGATCTGTGCATGGTTCCGGCCGGAGGTTGCTTTTGCAAGTGATGAGAAAATGGAGCCTGCAACTGGTCTGCTCCGGATTCCACCTGAATCTTTTGTCAAGGTAGGATTAGGAATAATGTTACTCATCATCATCATCATCTAATTCTGACATTTTCTTGTCTTGCTGAAAATGAAATAAATTTATGCAGGCATGTGTTGTTTGCAAACAGGTTCATGGTTCTTGTATACAATGTTGCAAGTGTGCTACTTATTTTCATGCAATGTGTGCTTCAAGGGCTGGCTACTGTGTGGAGGTAATAAATTTGCTTGCTTACTTTTTGTATAAAATACGTATCTCATTTATCTTTTTGTTTGTTTGTGTTCAGCTGCACTCATCAGAGAAGGGCGGCATATATAACACCAGATGGACTCCATACTGTGCTGTCCACAGGTAAGATGCTGTTTATTTGTTTCCTTTCCTTTATTATTGTCGTTTTGGCATTTTAGTGAGATGTTGTTTATGCAGAACCCCAGCAGATACTGGCATTGTAATCAGGACGTCTTCTGAGGTTTTTCGTGCAAAGAGGTTGCATCAGAAAGAGAAGGAGAGTTTTAGGGGTTCAAGGCTTCTGTTGAGGGATCTTTCTGTCTCCCATTCATCAACCCCACAACCACAGCATGATAATGACGAACCTGAACCAGAACCAGAACCAGAACCAGAACCACTCTCTGCTGCCAGGTGTCGCATTTACAAAAGATCAAGCACCAAGGTCAAGGTAGGCCCCCCAATCACCACTAATTAAGACTTATTATATTCACTTGTTTATTATTCTCTGTCTGGTTTCAGAATGGTGTAAAGGAGGCAATATTCCATCGGTTAATGAGGCCGATCCAGCATTCAGTGGATGAAATAGACGGCTTAACCTCACACACAGTAATTAATTAATTTCTATCTGCATTGGGTGGGACAGGGAATGATTAAGCAAAGCTTGCTTTGTTGTTATCTTGGCAGGAAGCGGAAGATTTGAATAACTTCTCTACATTCAAGGAAAGACTTGACTGTTTGCAGGTAGGTATAGTCGATATTACTTGTCTTTCGTCTACCCTTCCCTTGCAATCCATGTGATGTCTTTTCTTCTTATTTTTAATTATTAATCCAGAGCACAGAAAACCAGCGTGTCTGTTTTGGTAAATCCGGCATACATGGATGGGGCCTCTTTGCAAGGCGCAAGATTCAAGAAGGAGAAATGGTAGCAGTATTTTTTTTTTTTTTTTAAATAATAATAATGGTAAGTTTGATTTATTTATTTATTTATTTTTTTTGTTTGTGGGAATGCAGGTGCTTGAATATCGTGGTGAGCAGGTGAGGCGCAGTGTTGCAGATTTGAGGGAGGTGCAGTATCGTTCTCAAGCCAAGGATTGCTATGTGAGTCGATTCTGCAATCTTGTTGTTTATTTGTTTAATAATTAGTATACAGTAAAACAACTATAAACTATTCTATTTCTTGTTGTTTTTGCATTGTAGCTCTTCAAGGTCAGTGATGACATTGTAATTGATGCCACAAATAAAGGGAATATAGCACGATTAATCAATCATTCGGTAATTGAAAACCAAACCATCACCCTTTTCTTTTCTTTTCTTTTCTTTTTGTTCCGTGGTAATTATAAATAAATAAATAATAATAGCAATAACATTTGTTTTTCTTGCAGTGCATGCCAAATTGCTATGCTAGGATATTGAGTATGGGTGCTGATGAGAGCCGAATAGTTCTTATAGCCAAAACCAATGTATCTGCTGGCGATGAGTTAACGTATGTATTGCATATCTTGCTTTTAAGGAGGCTTCATTACTTCATTAGTTTAAATATTTAATTCTGAATGCTTCAGGTATGACTACAAATTTGATCAAGATGAGCAGGATGAACTTAAAGTCCCTTGTTTATGTAGGGCTGCCAATTGTAGAAATTTCATGAATTAGTTTCTTTTACACTGTTAACCATTTTTTATACACAACTACACAAGAGAGAGGCAGGCATGCATATGCATATTATTACAAGACCACCTTACACTTTTCCTGATTATCCCCTCGGAGATGAATTTACTACAACCGTGTAAATCTAACAACCCTCTTTCTTGTTTTAGTTTGCTAGGCAAATGAACACAGATGAATTTTCAACGTATACTTGTCTAGGTGTGAGTCCATTAATCTTGTTGGTATGAAAAAAGGAATTTTAGTAATGCGTTTGTTATCAACGGGTATTATTATTATATTGATCTATGATGTAATTTTAACTCACGTTTTACTACCAGGATGATTTTTTTACATATTGTTTTCAAGTTGGATTTACCCTGTTCTGTTTAACTGTTCGTGAAATTTCTAGCTTAAGAGTTGAGCCTCTCTTGGTGATAAACTTTGACATTTACTACAAGTAGGGTGCAAGAGGATGATTGTTACTAGGTCCGACTTCCATCACCGGAGTATGGAGGAGGGTTTGGTATGATGGACAAGCTGAGATGAAGGAGGGTGCAACTAGGGCTTCATGGGTTCAATTGCATGTAGTTCAAACACATAGTTAGGGTTGCATGCGCGTCAATTGCAATGGATGAATGAAGTCAAGGGTGGACTCAAGTGAACCGAAGGAAGCATGGGAATCAACAAAACGTTTTTGATCACCTTGGATCGAAGGAAGATGTCCAAGACAAATTCAAACCCACGTATATGTGACACTCGTTTTTGGATAAAATATAAGTTATAGTGTAACATAAACTTGGAATGTAAAAATGTGTGCTTAAACTAAAATGATGTTTTGGAAGTGTGTGATTCCGACATATATTGCTAAAGAAACATTTTCCAGAGTAAAGAGCTTAATGTGTTGACAAGTAGAAATTATAAGCTGGGGTAAAGTAGGAAATTTGGGAAAATTATATCATGCATCATTATTAGGTATCATTATTAGGTGCTGTTTGTTTTTTGAAAAAAAACCTCTTCAAACTTCTTACTGCTGCGCGGCGCAGCACACGCGTAGCACTTTTCATATCGCAGTTGTTTGTTTTTTAGAAGTCTTCTAAGTCAAAAACCTCTGCGCAAGCTCTGTTTAGCGCAGCACTTGTACTGCATCTTCTAACCTCTTCCAACATTTTCTTCTTGTTTTTTTATTGCTGAAATTTTGATTATATGTTATTAAAATTTTATTTCATATTTTTTATTTCGTTTTTTTTTTTTCGTTTATTCTTATTGAATTTATTTTTCATTTTTTTATATTCAATAATGATAATTTCTTGATGAAATATCATTATTTTTTTTACTAAAATATCTTTATTTTTTGTTGAAATATCATTCTTTTTTACTGAAATATCATTAATTTTTACCGAAATGTTATACATTATTAAATTTTACGTATTAAAAAGTTATTTTCGGTTTATAAAATTAGTTTATTTTAATTTTTTAATATCTGCAGCAGTATGCAGATGTTAAAAAAACAAATACGCTTTTTATTATAGTCTGCAGCCGTTTGGTCCACCTCTTCTACTGCAGAGGGTTGCAGAGGTGGTCCGCAGACTTCATGAATTTTTGCTTCAGAAAATCAAACAACACCTTAGTGATGCGACGAGTGAGTGTCATGACACGATTTCAAAGCGAGAAAGTGGTTGATGTAAAATGAACAGTGGCAGCAATGTACCTTCATAAAATCAAGGTAAGACACGACCCAATGGAAGCAGGATGCCATAATTTTTAAGGATAAGTTTTGAATGACAGACAACAAAAGTGTTGTATACAGTGAAAAAGTAGTGACGTGACAAAGAGGACACGACGCAAACAAACATATGCCGCGAAGTAAAGTCGCTAAAGGGGTAAAAATCAGATAAAACAGAAAGGAGTCGTTTTCAATCCCATTATTTTACCTTCCTCGTTCCACAGCAGAGAAACACAAAGAAAAGAGGGTTTGATCGGATTTTCAAGGGAGAAACAAGGGAAGATCAAGAGCAAGCTTCCAAAATGTGTTAATCACTTCTAGAATCAAGAGTCTATATACTAGTTAATCTTGTTGAAGTTGGGGCTAGACCACTTGGTTAATGATGTGTCTAACAAGGAGGTATTGAGTTCTATCCCAAGCATATACTAACCCTGCCATTTAAAAAAAAAACAATCTCATGATTTAGGGTTGATATGAGCTTGGGTTGTGATAACCCTAATCATAGTAAACGATTCCTATGCTGAAATTTTGATGTATAATAATAAATAAAGGCTATAATAACATGATTTTAAACCCATTGAGTTGTAAATTGAATCTAATTGCTTGATTCAGAGATGAAATTGTTATGAACCCTAGAAATTAAAATTTAGGGTTTTGATAAATTGAGTTCAAATATGAAGTTATTATATAATTGAGTGTTATGATTTTAATGTTAGTGATGTTATAGAACATATAAGAGAAATTACATAATAAGTTAGGACACTTAAGAGGTGTGTTATTACTTGAGAAATCTACAGAAAAGTCCCATACTTTTGGGAAAAGTTTCAATAAAATCCTAAAAAATTTTTTTGAACAGAAAAGTTTTAATTATTTAACATTTTGACCAAATTAACGAAAAAGTCAATTTTTATATTTGACTAGCAAATGACATATTATATGATTTTCTCAAAATAATATGACTTTTCTGGTAAAAAAGAAAAATTTTAGGACTTTATTGAAAATTTTCCCAAAATTTTTGGATTTTTTTGTAGATTTCCCTTATTACGTAGGTTTCGCTGAAGCAAGGACTAGGATCACGACATGATCTTAAGAAGTTAGAACAAGTTATTCTCAAACAATTCAAGGTGAGTAATTTAACTCTAACTTTTGTGATATATTGTGGAATACAAACTAGATTTTTTTAATAGTATCTATATTATGAATTGCCATTAAGAGTACTTTAATGAGATATGTCTTGATAAAATTTAAGAGTACTTTAATGAAATATGTCTTGGTATAACTTAAAAAGAGTATAAGTTCATTATACTAAGAGTATATAAGGAGTTTAGGATATGAGATGATTAGGGTCATATATAAGTATTGTGATATCCTTAATTAAATCAAGAGCCTCCTAGTGAGTTATAGGCGGGCAATATTCAATAGAATGAACGTGTTGAGAATTACAAACCTTCACAAACTTGTATTCAATAGAATGAACGTGTTGAGAATTACAAACCTTCACAAACTTGTCATTGAATTGTATATCCTTTTTTATATCCTTTGTTAATATTTATAATTTAAGTTAAGGTATATTGTATATATAATTGGAAACCTGTTTGTTAGAATTTACAGGAAGGATTGGAAGTGTCAAGGTAGATTAATATTTGGATTGCAACTTCTAATCTCAAAGTTGGTGTGGTTGATAAACACGCGGAGCCTACCCATCCTGTTATATATGTTATATAAGTGGATGTTACCCAGAATTGACCTATCTTTCTTCCTGAAGTATATATTGAAGATGTGTGTAATTTTTCATTATCAAAGATCAATTTTATACTCACCTTGTTATTTTCTCTCATTCCGTAACATCCCAATATCATGTAATTTTTTTTATTATTTCTTATATCTTCATCAAAAGTTGCATAATTGGTCCCTTGAGTAAAATGGCTTGTGATTGTGGTCGTACACTGGGCGTACTTAAGAGTACGCGCAGTGTACTCATGCGGCATGGAATCACGGATGATCAACTAGTATGATGGGCGTACGTGTGGTACGTCGCGCGTACTCGCCTAGACTCAAAACCCTAATATTAAGGGTTACTCCCTATTTAACAATATTATGTCCTAATTTGATCACCCGTATCAGCCACCATACCCTCTCTAAACCCTAATTCCGAGTTTGAGTTGCTTGTGTGAGTTTTTCAAGCTTATTGAGTGTTTTCAATGCATTTAGTTGAAGACGGAGACTAGAAAAGGAGTGGGTGCTATCAAGCTTGTAGATCCAGAAACCTTTCATCTTTGTGTATCATTTTTAGGTATAAAGTTTATACCTTGTGTAACATCCCCAAAATCACGGCCAGAAAAGACCGGTTTAATTTATGATTTTAAAATAATTTCAAAGTAATCATTTTGTTAAAAGACTTGCGGAATTTGTTCCTTAAACGAAATATGATAAAATAAGATTTACCAAAACATTTCTTAAGGAAATGTATTTTCATTATATAACAAAACTCGGGATGTCATGTTCCGATAAACAGACCAAAAGCATAAACATTACATTACAGACCTTACAATAGTTATATAAAACAACATGTCCATAATCCAAAAATAACTTGACAAGTCATCCAACTTATGCTCTGGCGCCACTACCTGTAATACAAAGAATATTGAGTGGGTCAAGCTTGGGAGCCAGGTGAGCATATAGGGTCTTCAACCCACAATAAATAATTATTTTTAATTCCATAAACCAACAAAAACCCAATTACCCATTCCCGTTATCCTCACTTTACGTCCGTAAAACATCTAACTTAAGGGACCTAGTTTAAGAATATTTCATTGGGGCAACAACACATGCATTCGGGGGTTTCCCAGCAATATATGTCAAATAAGGCAACCATGAGGGGGATGGAGTACATCGAATGAACACCCAAGTTCATTAACACCTACAGGTGGCGAGCCTACTAGCGTTCCACGGGACTGTCTAGAAAAGTTCGTGGTCGTCATCTAAACTCCGCTAGATGACTGAATAAAAAACTATAACATCGAGGCCTCTATTCATTTTAACACACATCAACTATCTACCCATGTTTTACCTAACACTTTTGTAGATAAAATAAATATACAGTTTAAAATTTGTATAAAACATTTATTCAACACTTATTTCATATAAACAAATAATGTATAAACACATAACACGTATTTTATATAGAATACTTTGTATCAGTGTGTTAGAAGAAAAGAAATATACACTCACTTCAAATAACAACAATATATATACACATAACACGTATTTCAAAGCAAATACTTCATATTTATGTGTTAGAAGAAGTAACCACACACTCACTTGATTAGAAGATGATCAGACAACACTACGGTTTGCAGAAGTAGTTTTCTTCGGTAGATCTGAAAGATCTTCACACACCGGGCTTCTCGTAGGCAGAACTTCGGCTCTGAAACTCTTTTCTTCTCGGGATCTTCGGACTTTGGGACTTGATTCGGGTCTCGGGATTATACCGGGGCTTCGGGGGTACTTCAAGATGACCAGAGAGGGTTTACAGAGTGAGAGAGTGAAGGGAATAGGAACCAAAATCGGCTGCCCTTCGATTTCTATTTATAGGGATGAAATACTGAATTCACATCGTGAAATCTCAAAATTCACGTCGTATGTTCAGTCAGGCAGTTGTCATTGCATTCGTCATCAGTCCACTTGCTCTGGAAGGCTCCAGAAGGCGTCAGTACTGAGTTCATGTCGTGAACACTGTTTTCACGTCGTGAACTCTGATACTGTGTTGGGGTTCGCTCCCCGAACTTCAGAAATTCATAACTTTCGTATACGAGCTCCGTTTTCGACATTTTTTTCCACGCATAGGTAAAAACAAGATCTACAACTTTCGTTTAGACTCCTTCGGCTAATTTTGACTTTATTTTTATTATATTATTTTTAGTAGGCTGGAACAGGAAAACTTCGTTAGAAAATCATAACTCCTTCGTCTGACGTCCGTTTTCGTCTGTCTTTTTGTCGTTGCACTACTATTGATGAGACCTTCAATTCTCATTTAGAAAATTTTGGCGAAATATCGCTCGATCTCATATTCGAACTTCGGGCTGTCTACTGCTAAGCCAAAACTTCGAAAAATCATAACTTCGTCATACGAAGTCAGATTTGGGCGTTCTTTTTATGCACACTCATGGTTTAACG